TGCAAACACAAAAATGTAAGAAAGGATTTGATGTACACCTGGTACATCCATTTATGGGATTGGAATGTGAGCGGAGTTTGCAGTCAGAAAGTTCAGAAACCTCTTACGTACACTGGTGAGAAGCAGTCACACTGCAAAATCCTAAAATAAATAAATTACAAACAACTTGAGAAAATAATAATAAAGGGTGTATAATAATAATAATAATAAAATTTGCAAACTAAGAGTGCAGTTACCTTAAGCAAAATCTCCCCATACTGGTAATATTCGGCAACAGAACAATCCTTCATTCTCTCTAGAAGAGCCTCCTTCACTCTAATACACCTATTCTTTAATTTTCAAGGGATGCCAGGTTAACCTAACCCCTTAGTTCTACCTCTCTGCCACAGTTACTGTCTGTCAGGTGTGTGCTGCACAGGACTCAGACAGAAAGACGACCTCTTCTAGACTGACTACTGGCCAAGGCTGACTGAACCCATGCAATCCTTTTTCTGAAATGGGCTTGAAAAGGACATGAGTGAATAATCAACCTTTAAAGAGTGGCCATATGGATAGTCTCACTGGATTGCAGTAGAAATCAAATGGCTGATGTGTGCACTAGGCATGGGTCTTACTGGTACAAACATAGAAAACAGCTGACTATTAATAAAACATCATAATAAATACATAGTTTAGTATTTGTTAATACAAAGTGTAATGGCAGCCAGGGGCAGTTCAGCCTCTCCAGGCAGCATTTCAGAAGGACAAATCAAAATACACAAACCAAAGAGGATGAAGCTGGTCAGCCTTGGTCACCAGGAGTTAGAAGCTCACATTGCTGCACAAGAGAAGCCAACCAGAAGACCAACACAGCATCTGCTGCTGAAAGCTCAGAGTGCCTTCCAGCATTCTCCCACCTTGTGCTAAGAAACTCTGACATTTCTTTCATGTAATCCACAGAGAACTGCCCCTCATCCTCTAAATTAAATGGAGAGCTGTCACCAGTGCACTGCAGCTTGCAAGGATGAGAATGGTTTTCACCCTCTTGTCCTGCCTTGGTGAATTAGGATTGATAAACAACATTTCTGACTGCATCCTGCTACTGCAATTACTGTTCATGGTGACACTAATGCACCTTGAGGACACTTGTACTGACATGAAATTACATGACATAGGAAGGCTGGAGAAGAGGGACATTAACAGTATGGCACAACATGGCAAGTCCTCCTGGGCCATCATAGCAAAGGTTGGAGACATTCTCAGCTTAAAGGCAAAATACTACTACTCAGAGCTTAGCTGTCTAACATTAAATGTTCACTTTCAGAAGATAATCTGAAAAAATTGAGCAAACTCAGACTACTTTATGGTTCCTGTACCGTCTGTCTCTCCCCTCATGCAAAAGTCCTTGGTCTCCAAGCCAGCGAAACAACGCAAATTCCCTTTCCATGATGAAGGATGAAAAAATTTGTAAGGGGGATGTAAAACAAAAGCAGATCTTCTGTTCCTCTGCTGCAGAGAACTAATTTTGGAAAGAAAAGGAGCTGGAGCAGTTCTTGATTCTTTGAAGACTTTCAGAAGGAAGTTAGAAGAAAACAGGAGTGGTTCAAAATGGTGTAAATACAAACCAAGGGATGTCTGTCAGCTTCTGATCCTTTGAAGCTCACACATCATGATTTTTACTACCCCTCCTACTTTAGCATTTATTTCTTCTCTATGTTCTTAACTTATATGATTCTTTCTTTATTTAATCTATAGCAACATTTACTTCCTGCTTCCACTTCAACTAAACATTAAACAATTAAGTAATTCAATATAGACAGCTTATTATTTAAATTTAAGTAGCCGTAACTTAAAGAAGAGTAAAAATTGCTCAACTTAAGTAAATTTTTCATTATTGTTACATTGTTAATGTTACATTGTTCAACCAATAACGAGCAGCCAGGAACAAGCATTTTAGTGTCTTAAAAGGAAAATCTCTGTTAGAACGAACAACCAGCTGGGAAATCTTTTGATATAATTTAATTTAATAAATAATAATAATATAATTTAAATCAAGTATTTAACAAGAATCTTTATAACCAGCCATGTTTTAGCAAATGAGCTTCAAGAGAATTTGAGAATACTTCCTTCATAGGCAGATTATTGTATAATTTCTTCCTGTAGATTCCTCCTTCTCTCTCTGATGCAGTCCCAATTGAAGAGGTTACAAGATTGTGCACAGCACATTGCTACCTTCTTTTATTAGTACCAAATACTTCTCCCAAGTAATTTAGCTTCATTTTTATTAATACCCAGACCTCTAAAGATAGAAAAATGAACCATTTCTATGAAATGAAATTCACCTGTTTTAGGAAAATGTAATGCAACAATTTGTAAGTGTGTGAGTTGGATATGTGAACATTAATATGACTCTTCTTTCTTGGAGAATTGTCTCTAGCATCTCAGAGGCAGATAAAAAATGTTACCTTGTGCCAGGCTGCACCTTCCTCATTCACTTAAAAAAAATTAAGCTTTCAGTAATTTGTAAGAATTTAAATTAGACATAAGCATCCTGTAGCAAATTATGATATACTGGCATGTACAGAGAGCTACATCATATAGCACAATTATTCCATACTGGGTAAGTGTAGGAGTTGGAAAATGGAAATGAAAACTCTTGACAGCATTGATGTACTTGGTCTCACTTTTTTACATTTACCCATTTGCCAAATTCATGCATTCTACCAGATTTTTAAAAAGGCATACATGCTAAGCTCTTTTCTAGCTTCTTTATATGAATTGGAAACAAAATTTGGATCCTAATGGGGGATAAAATAATAGGATCTAATGAGTATGCAATACAAAATCGACTTTAATAACATCTTCTCAGATAATGTATTACTGAACAGTCTGAAAAGACTTCAAACATCCCATTATTACCATTTTGACCTGAGGCAAAGCAAAGCACTGAAATACATCAAGGGTTCTGTTCAAGACTAAACGGGTTATACTTGTATGATGCAGTTTGTGTGAGAGTTGGGCAATGGTGATTACACCCAGTTCAAAAGTAAAATAAATCCGTAGGTTATTCAGTAGCACTTTCATCAAAGCTTCACCCATGTGGCAGTGCACAAAGAGTTACCTTGTCTAGTCTCTTTTGCACACATACATGAACACCTCAGTTTACTCATAAAAATACATATTATGCATACTTTGCTAAAATCAGTGTCGCTTTCACACTAATGACTGGTCTAAATTCTAAAAGAATCAGAACCATCCAGATAGAGGACTGCTTTTTTGGACCTTTCATGCTTCTGAAAAGGAAAATAGCAGAAGAAAAAGAAAGTTCACAAGTAGGTAAGAAACAAAATCTGCCTGAACATGCTCCTTCTTTATGCAATAAAAAATAAGGCTCTCCTAAACTCCTGACATTTGGGTGATACTCACAGTGATAAAACCCAGTTAAACTAAATGCAAACTGACTTAAGCAGTCACACATCTTCTGAACTGCTGACCTGAATCCATCAGGACACTTTTCTCCCTTATTACCTTTTCACTTCTTGGTATTTAAGAGTACTCTGGCTGAAACAGGGAACTAGCAGAAGGAAAGCAGTTGCAACAGGACTTTAGGTCTGACCAACAACAGTATCAGCAATACCACGCAATCTGTGGATCAAAGGCAGCTGCGGACTCAGAGTGCAGTTCAATTAACAGGCAACTGTTTGAAGACCTACCTGTATTAAAGGGATGTCTGCACCTGCAATTACCATTTGTCCTGAAACTTTTAAACCACTCACTTTAAGAGCAGACATATGAAGGAGACACACGGGGCAATACGTTATAATTAAATGTCAAGTCACTACTTGTCTGATTTTGCATTTGGTTAGCCTGAACTTATACATTTTATATCCCTTTTTGGCATACAAGGCTACATTCTGGTTAATTTTTAAACCAACTGCTGCCACACTGCTAATACTATGAGGAAAAAAAATCTTCACCCTGTGTCGTTTCATTTTATATCACTTTTCTAAAATATTTTTAGCATGCCTTTACATGAACTGCAGAGCACCATAGAGATACCTGAGTTTGCTTGAAATAGATTACACTGGCATAATTAAGAGTTTTCAGCAGCTAAACTAGTGCTTAGCAGGTGATAATTTAAGCTATTTTTCACCATGGCAAATAAGCCTGCACAGAATGCTAGATCTGACAGTCCTAGTGTTCAAGCTGGTTTATGTACATGTGCTGTACAGACAGAACCTCCTTTATGAATGCAGCATATTTACTGGTATTTCTTTCAGCAAAATAGCTTAATTTTTATTATAGCCTCTATTATTTATTAACACAACCATTAAAATCAAAGAGTTAGCTATTAAATGGCCTGCCAAGCAGCCTACAGTAGAGCATAGATTAACCTATTTTATCTTGTAGATGTGCTTCTGTTAATAAATTCTAAAGCTGCTAAAAAATGAAAAAAAAACAACCAACCCTCCACCAGAGAGGCACATCTGAAGTCATAATAAGCATGCAATTTGGGTATTCAAAATGACATCATGACAGCTGCTATGCCTTCTAAGTATTGAAAGTGCTTTAAAAATAAAGCAGTGGTAACACAGTTTGGTAAATTGCTTCAATTGGCTTCCCACCATCCAAAAGTCAACATTAACAGCAGCTTTGTTTGATTTTTTCATGTGCCTTTTGTAAAGTAGATTAGACAGTGAAAAGATTCAGGATTATTTTTTTCTGACTTCTGTTCCAGTCTTTCAGTAAAGAGATTGTAACAATACACCCAAATTACTATATAAACCCAGTGTACATTCCAAACCTGCTGAATGAAATACATTATTTTTCTACTGCATGTTTGAAATGTGTGCCTTATGTATCTTCCTTGCAGAAAATTTTAACTTTGGTAAAAGCTCTGCCTCTCTCTTTCACTTAATTTTGGTTTGCTTCCTCTGGAAAACTCTGCCTTAGCAAATCATTCAATTGAAATAAAAAAAAACCAGAATAAAAGCGCCAAACATCTGGTCGAGATGTCTTACCTAATGACTGGTAGAGCTCAGTCATCTTGGGATGATCCCAGCAGGTCGTTTGCGTCTCATGGCTACAACACAAAACATGAAAGTTAGTAAAGCAGAATTTCTCTCTCCCTCTCACAGCAGTGATGCAGGCTGCACATCAGAGCACAGCGCCAGATCTGTGCCCGCAGCCTGGGCTGCTCCACTGGGGGCTCAGCACTGCCAGGCGTGTTTTCTTTCAACCAGAGGCATTAACCTGGAGCGCTTTACTCAGGCAAGGGCTCGTGAAATAAAATTAGAAGTAGTGCTAATATTAAAAAGACAGCAAGTATGTCGCTGTTTTGAGGAATTTGCAAGCAATCAATTCTTAAGAACTCATTGCTTTGTACAGGTCATTCTCCAGTTGCTCCAAACCAGAGGACAGACATTTGAAAGGGCTTAGTTCTTAAAGAGTTTCTGGAAACTCTGACCAGACGCTGAGATCTATATTCAACTTCCTTTCCCCTACATGCTCCCTTAACCCTTTCCCATGTGGTAGGTAAGAACTACCCAATGCAGTGGGTATCCATCCTTTCAGTCCAGACACCTGTGCTGAAGTCCCTGTGCAACAGCCTTCTGATCCACCACCAGCTTACACCGCTTCTCAGGCCAGCATTGCACCCTGTAGAGACAGTCACTTCTAGCAGAGACTCCTGGCTGCTCTGCTTGTTCCCTGGGTCTCCCAGGCCCTTTCCCTCACCCTGGAGGTGCCTGTGCAGTGTCAGGCAGCAGAGCTCTTGGGAAGCCAGGGAAAAGCTGAAGTGGGGTTATGAAACGCTGCAGCATGACCAGAATGTAAATTGGAGTCTCTGCATTGAAGGCCAGCAGCCTCCAGCTTTGCAACACAACACGTTGCCGAAGGACAGGCAGCGTGAGAAAGTCAACAGAATGAAGTGTTAGCGGATGTAGTAGCAACTCATGTCTCCTAAGGTTATACTTTTTATGAGTTTGTTTTTTAATGACAGCATAGCTAACATGATTATGTTTCCATTAACACAGGAGGCTTGAAAGAAAATTCTCTTTATCTGTCCTGTAGCCAATAGTCCCCTGAACAGAGAATTCAGCTGCATTAAGAGAAAACCGTAAGAAAAAAATAAAAAATGGAACACTTATGTAGCATACCATTGCTAGCAAATAACATTTGCCATTTCTGTACTTAAAAGCAGACATGCAGGTTTGAACATGCACACATCACTCTGGAGAACATAGGCAGAAGAGCAGGACCTGACCCACAGCACAGTGGAGATCCTGGAGCACACACCTCCCAGCTCCAGGAGACCAAGCCATCCCCCAGCAGCACCTGTGCCCCCCACTGTGCCCTGGAACATTGACACAAGAAGGTTGTTTTAGAGAACAAATGGCCCTTGAGCTCTCATTTTGAGGCACTGATGTTCCCAAGTGTGCATTTATCCTTTATAGGCTAAGAGGAGGTAAAACTTCTGATGTATCACTTCAACACCACCTCTACTCAAGGAAGAAGAAAGTTGTATCAGGTTTTCTTAGTATGATTTAATTTTGGCCTTAAAAGACAGGTTATTTATTTGATTCCTGTGAATACTTTACTGGCCCAGTAACCTCTTTATGTTCAGCAGCGTACTATATATAATATTTCCAGATTTTGCTCTCTAACTGCAAGAAAAAATAAAAGAGATCACAAGCACTATGCGTAAGAAAAAAAAATCTGCCATAAAGCTGCCCCAGTTGAGCACAGGGTTTCAAACAAGCCCTGTCTCAAAAACCTCAGCATTACCACCCTATCTCAATTCTGAGAAGGCAGTGAAAATGTGAGAAGGACATCACAAGAGCAAAAGCAGTCTTGTTCTTTGCTCTGTTGAAAAATCAAGTCCTGCAAAGGGAGGTGAATGCAATTGTATTCAGAAATCTCAGCCCGGTCTGGTTTTTTGTTTGTTTGTTTTTGTTTGTTTGTTTTTTGGTTAGTTGGTTTTTTTTATTCCCAGAAACCAGAAACTGGGTAGCTTCAAGTGAAAACCTGTCCATCTGAGCCACCTGCATCTGAGCTCCTGCATTTCCCATCCTGCTTGGCATGGGCAGGTTCTGCAGGGAGAATGTAACACCAGAACCTTTTATCGCACCCAGGTATAAAGCATATTTTTTAAGAAAAACAGAAACAGTTTCATTACTAAAAACTCAGCTGAGAGAAGCCTCTATTGATATAACAGCACTCCAAAGGAAAAGAAGACAGAAGTGCATTCATGGCAGAAAACCCTGCAGTCAGAAACGTCACAATTCAGGTGAACAGCTGCAGACCCAAACATTCACACCTACAGACCTGGGATTGCAGTTTGTTTCCCCCAACTTCAGTCCCAGATCAAGAATTCCCCAGGCATGAGCTTGGCCACCCTGGCTTGCTTCCCCACAGGCAGACAGCCCCAGAAGGGCGTATATTTGAACAGGAACTGTACCATGATTTGTATGCCGAAACATGTAGCAAAAATGAGAAAAAGAATTTATGTGAACAAGAAGCCTCCGAAAAGAACCACCCTTTCTGTATTAAATTAATTTGGTAGCCCCAGATTGTTCTATGGACAAACTAAATCATTTCAGACTCCATAGCTGCCAACCTGGCAGCCCTCAAAGAAACTGATTCCACATGAAAACATTTAAAAGCCATCAGATATCTGGTAAAGGTGAATATAGATAGGATTATGGACATATCCCATGCTTGCGTGGGATAGAAGAACGAAAGGATCATCGTAGTGTGAAAAACAAGCACCAAAAATCAAAGTTCTACCAATGAGTAATTTACTCAATTTTTTATTTTTTATTGCAAGGCCTAACCATGTATCAGTGAGTTTAGTGTGGTTAAAGCTTATGGCATTTACTAATGCTGAAAATACACAACTGCTTTTGTAAGACCTTGTAAATAAAATTTCCTTTGCCAAAGAAAGCCTGGACTCCAACTGGTTTTTAATATTTTTAATACCAGTAATCCCAAACCTCTACTCAGTGTGGTTTTCTTTTATGGTATAAGATTTATTATCATAGGAAATGCACACTTTGTAAAGAATGATTTAATTTGCTTCATGCACAAGTGACAAAGACTGAATTTGCAGGGCAGGTACATTTCCCCTTTTGCTTTAAAATTAAACTTTGTTGCAACTTAGAGGAAATATACCTTTCCTAAGACTATAAAAGTCAAGCCAGTAGAGCCCCTAACTCTTTCCCCAGCAGCTCTGCAGCCGGAGCACCCAGAGGGCAGAGTGCCCTGCACCTGCTGCATCCCATCCTCAGCAGGGGCCAGCCAGCTCCCATCTGGTACCAGCCCCAGCGACGGGCTGGCCAGCCCTCAGCACCCCTCTGTGCTCCTGCAGGAAAAAGCAAAGGCTTGGAAGGGAACTGTAGAGGTTGAGTGGCCGTATGGAGCCAGGGCAGACTTTGCTGGTACTTTACATGCAGAACACAAGAAGGCTGCAGATATTTTGCTCTAGCTAAAAGGCGTTCGTCTCTCAACGTCTTCAGCTCGGAAAATTATCAACTATTCCGCACACAAGGGCAGCTCCAGGAAAGGTTAGATTCCATCAAGGCTATTCTTCGTAAGCCTCTTTGCCATTTTCAAAGGCCATTTAATTGTGAGCTCTGGGGTTGGACCGGTGGGGGAGGATTTGTGTGTATGCCCTTATTGTGAGCACCGTCTGAAGTGAAATGCCAGCTCAGCAGTTTCAGGCAGCCTCAACCACACTTGGGAATGCTGTAGCATCCTTAATAGATCTGCAGCAAAGTGTTTGCCAGAGTTTCAAACTCTGGTGAACAAGGCCCTTTACAGCCTGCAAGTCAGAAAGATGTCAGAAGTGTAGTCTGAGTCCTCTAGACTAGCAGCAGCTGAAGCAGAGGGAGAGTATGTGCAGAAGTACTCAAAATGCTTTTCCAACAAACTACCAACACAAAAAGACATTGGCACACACAGACAGCAGTTTTGTAATATTGCACATGCTCAGAGGATATATTTTTCAATTTGGCTCTACATTTAGGTCAACAAAAATGATCACTAGCTTTTAAATCACAGGCATTCTGAAACAAATAAAAATACAAGTGCACTCACTTGGCCTATTTTCCTCTTTCTTACCTGACCTGAGCTGCAGAAGTGGAAAGGAAATTAAAACCAGGCCTGAAAAGAAGACAAGCAGCAATGGCTAGTGGTGACACCTTGGCGTGGGTGTGACTGGCACACTAAACACACTGATAATTCAGTAGGATGAAAGCATAGTCTTCACTTGATATATCCTTTGGGACCCACAGGACCACTTCATTAAAGGATGATGATATTATATTAGCAAGGATAATTTTTATGTAGGGAATTCTGTCACACTATGCCTGTGTGAACTCCTCTGTTCCTGCCAACAGCAGAGAGATTTGTCTCTCATCACTGTCAGCAGAGCCAACAACACACAGGATTGGAAATCTGAAATCAAGAGATGATATCCTAACAGAAACACTGGCTGAATTACAGTTCCCTTGTTATGACTTGATCAGTTTGGACAAAATACAGTAATTTTTTCTTCATTCTTTTTCTATTACTTCTGAGCAATGCCAGCAGCAGGAGGAATTGAAAGCAATGCTCCCCCACACCCAAATTCTTGCACATATCCCCCCCCAACATTCCTGCACCAGCCATGTCGTAACATTCACAAATCTTTTAACTGTTTTTGATTGCACTCCTTCTCCCTCACTCCCTTTTTAAAAAAAAATTTAAAAAAATTAGGTCCCGTGTATTCACTGCTCAGCTCCAGAGCAGAATTTTAGGTTGCAACTGCAGAGCCCTTTTTAAACTCTCAGAGCCCGCTTCATTGGTGATAGCAGAGCCAGTTCTGCTGCGCTTCTCCCCACACCCTTCATTAGCAAATGCGACATGAACAACTTGTGCAAATGCAGAGATGTGCATAGAATAAAAAATTCTATCGTGTAGAAATAAATAGCTACAAATACTCACAAAAAAGTGCCAAAATTATACTGGTATTGTACAAAGCCCTGAACTCATCCCCTTCTAAACAACATGATTTATGATACTTCTCACCTTCTGGCTTTACGA